GAATTAAGTTTGGTATATTTAGTTTATTTATCTCATTATTTCACTGTTTTGTTATTATTATTATTATTTTTTCTTTTCTTTTTATAGTTTTCACCAGTTTTGTCCAGTTTCTGTTCAGTATTAGTTCAGTTTCTGTTCAGATTCTGTTCAATTTTGTTCACTGCGTGAATAAACGGCAGTCTTACCAATGGTGTTGCTTCATTTACTCGTGGTCCGCTACAATTATAACTAAATGAAGACGGATTCTCTGTTTCATGGACCCTTAGTTTCGTTACACTGGCATATGTTCAGAGAAGACGGACACGCAATCTGTCGTCTGTATGTTTTCTCTAACGCATTCACAGGCACAACCAGTGACTAATCTAGAGCTTTGTCGTTGCGGGGTGATGAAACTACTTAGCCATATTCACGTACCCTAGGCTCTAGATTTCAGTTTTGCAAGCTCGACCTTGATTTCATATATAACCCATATCAACAAAACTGGCTCTACCCACTAGCGTCAAGTGGAGGGCTCGTTCGGCAAAATTTTGCCTGGGGCGTTTCTATATTTGGAAGTCAGAGGTCTCATACGTTACAGCTCTGTGCCGCCTGGCGCTGCCTTTCCAGCCTTGCGCTGACGTTATCTCGTGCAGACGAGACAAGAAGCAAAGTGGCTGCCGCGGACTTTGAACTAAGAATATCTTATATTTACTCTCGAAGGTCAGTGCCACAACCAAAGCAACTTTCTGCTTTAAAAACTGATTTTTGGTGTAGCCATTGAGCAGTCCTTATAGTGGTATCGGGCATACAATGTAACTTTAAAACCTCCAACGAGTCTATCTGGTTTCCTGAAAAAAAGCAGTCGTATTGTAAGATTGTCAGGGTTAGCTTGTTGACTCAGTAAGTCATGGGACTATGAACATCGGACTAACTAGTCTGCGGGCAAAATAGCTTGCCGTCTAATCCGCTAATATTGACGTATTCAAGTAGGTCGGCCATATTTGACCGGTGGACTAGTTAATCCGCTGTTCTGAATGCGACCTATGTCACCAAGATCAATGAGGAAGTGGAACAAAAGACACTGTCTGTCGCCCCCTCAGCCCACCAACAATCAGAGGGTTCCAAGTCCTGGTATAGATGTCGAATTATAAAAGGCCTCTTCCAATTTATCTATCGACCCAGATACTGTGTACTAACTCCACGGTGACTTTTTTGCAATGAAAATGAACTTTTCACTTGTTAAAAGTAATAACTGCAATAGTTTTTAGGGTGAAATACGTATAATATCGAGTAAAATCATGAAAACGTCATGCTGGTGTAATAAAAAAACCCCNAGTTATTATGACTTTAATTTTAGTAGCTTCTCGAACAGGAAAAGGCCATTAACATGGATCCTGTTTACTAAGTAAATGCGAGCCAGACAAATTATAAAATAATGGAAGTCACCAAGAGTTAATGACCGATATTTATCAGACATTTACAAAATTACAGAGCTTAAGTGATTGCAGCCAGCATCATGGAGTTGAAGTGAAAACGGAACAACGGTCTTTCTTGCAAAACTCTTGTTATTACGCAATCTACTGTTATTTAAACCTGCTCCTCAAGTGGCATCTAACTAAGACAGCAATATTTGATGTTTTTCATTCTTATTTATTTTTTTTTTCTTTTTCATAAAACTGAGGAACTGGTAAACTAGGTGGTTAAAAAGGTGTAAGTAAAACTCATCGTGATGAAATAATTAACTACTAGGGCGGCATTAGGTCTTGTTGAAATAATGTTTTCTTTTGGACATAATGATCAATTAATTAGTTAAAAACTTTAATCTATCTCTTAAACAGATAATATAGGTGTTTATTAGAAAACTAAACCATTGTGATCATTATAACTGTTATTTTACAAAAGCGTACTAGTTATTTCAATAAGAACAGTTACCGGGTGGTGTCAATAAGTACATAAAGAGTAGGAAATACATAATTCATTCGCGACGTAATCAAAGCGGGACGCGCCGCCTCTCTAACTAATGTGGGTGGGTCTCTCCGTTCCTATGACTCCAACGTTATGCGTCTATGCCACCAGACTCTGAATTCAGAGCCTTGAATACTAGACCTTGTTTGAGAAGCTGGCACAGAGCCCTCCTAGATAGATAATTTCTTTTACTATCAGTGAGTGGGAAATTGTTTGCTTCACCTTTGATTTTCAAGAGCACAATGGTATCAAATGCGGTTCACACCGACACGGTTTTACTTAACGCAAGTCCCTCAGAGGAGGGAATCGTTAAAAAACGTTGATCATAGCTAGATGGTTTTGACCCACTTAGGTCAGGCTTACCTCTACCATTATAACTAAATGAAGACGTTTATGGACCTGTTTCATGGACCCTTAGTTTCGTTACACTGGCATATGTTCAGAGAAGTCTTAAGACGAACACGCAATCTGTCGTCTGTATGTCTTCTCTAACGCATTCACAGGCACAACCAGTGACTAATCTAGAGCTTTGTCGTTGCGGGGTGATGAAACAACTACTTAGCCATATTCACGTACCCTAGGCTCTAGATTTCAGTTTTGAAAGCTCGATCTTGATTTCATATATAACCCATATCAACAAAACTGGCTCTACCCACTAGCGTCAAGCGGAGGGCTCGTTCGGCAAAATTTTGCCTGGGGCGCTTCTATATTTGGAAGTCACAGGTCTCATACGTTACAGCTGTATCCGCCTGGAGCTCCATATTTGGAAGTCACAAGTCTCGTACGTCACAGCTCTGTGCCGCCTGGCGCTGCCTTTCCCACCTTGCGCTGACGTTATCTCGTGCAGACGAGACAAGAAGCAAAGTGGCTGCCGCGGACTTTGAACTAAGAATATCTTACTGTCGAAGGTCAGTGCCACAACAAAAGCAACTTTCTGCTTTAAAAACTGATTTTTGGTGTAGCCATTGAGCAGTCCTTATAGTGGTATCGGGCATACAATGTTACTTTAAAACCTCCAACGAGTCTATCTGGTTTCCTGAAAAAAGGCAGTCGCATTGTAAGATTGTCAAGGTTAGCTTTTTGGGACTATGACTGCATTCAGAACATCGGACTAACTACTTCGCGGGCAAAGTAGCTTGCCGTCTAATCCGCTAATATGGAAGTATTCAAGTGGTTCGGCTATATTTGACCGGTGGACTAGTTAATCCGCTGTTCTGAACGCGGCCTATGTCACCAAGATCAATGAGAAAGTGGAACAAAAGACACTGTCTGTCGCCCCCTCAGCCCACCAACAATCAGAGGGTTCCAAGTCCTGGTATAGATATCGAATTATAAAAGGCCTCTTTCAATTTATCTATCGACCTAGATACTGTGTACTAACTCCACAGTGACTTTTTTGCAAGAAAAATGAACTCTTCACTTGTTAAAAGTAATAGCTATAATAGCTTTTAGGGTGAAATACGTATAATATCGAGTAAAATCATGAAAACGTCATGCTGGTGTAATAAAAACAAAACCCTGTACTTTCACACTGTCACCACCACACTTGCTTCGTTCGATCGCTTGAGGTCGCGTCGCGTCTATTTATAATTATTTCAACCAACAATACATCTAAAGTGGAGGCCTGGACTTCCATTCCTAGGACTACCACTCCTGTTACACGGGTGCACACGGTGTCTTAATACATGTAGTTTGGTGATGTTCTCCCATTACCATTTTTGAATATAAATGACTGCCAGGAACTCTTTCATTTGCCGTAAATATTTTTTTTTAAATAAAGATAACATCCCGATACGATATCTACTAATGTATCCACTCGTTATAAAACAGGTACAATATCCCATACCAATTCATCATTAGTCAACATTAACAAATTTTTTGGATTAAATATTGAGACCAGTCTTCTGGCGACAGCTCTTTTATTTCGGGAAACTTGTCTATGAGCACCCTTTTGCAGATTGATACACTATAAAATTTATACATAGTTACATTGCAGTTAAGAAAGAACCTGAAAACTTTCATTTCATCGGTCTATATAGAATTTGCATTACAACCGTTCATATAATAATTATAAATAAAGTCATTCAGACGTTGTAATTATTTATTCGTTAATTTTGGCACACCTTTTCTAAGAAAATATCAGAAGGTTATACATGTAGCGCTCTTTTTGAAGCATATACAATGCAATGTACTGGTACATATACTAGCTTGCGAATTGTTGAGAGTGTCACTGCCCGGCTAAAATATGAGGCCAAGTGGTGTTCGTTTAAAATACTCAACAGATGTCCTCATCTACGATGCATTTCCCACATACATTATCAGTTAATTACTATCGCAGTCGGTAGCTCCATCTACCGGTGCACAGAGTAATGTTTTAAAAATTATAATGTTCATAGATTGCCCCTTTGCAGAATTGCGCACAGTAATTCATTTCTGTCCGATTATGTTGTAGAAAAGTGTCTGTTATTTTTAACCTCTTTTCCATAAAAACGAAGGTATCTCTGTCTGATATTAAGTAAACCCAAGCGTTTAGAGACAGGTATACGATGTGAGCTTTAAATCTATTACATGGCATTAAAATAACAAGCACTTTAAATTTACAAAGTGCGTCAGCAACGTAAGTAAATCAAATGTCTTTTCTATATTACAAAGCTGACCACCTTTTTCAAACTAGCAGTTATCAACAGTTTGGTATAAAAACAGTTTTCAAATAAAAAGAAACAAGATAAATAAAGCAAAGACACCATGTTCTGACATCGAAAATAACCAATCAGTTTTCTTTTGGTCTGTTTTCCAACAAGGCAAGCTTCAGTCTTTTCCAGAAAATGTCCCTTTTGCGCAGCCGCAGGTCTGGCCAGTAAAGACATTGGCAATATCGTATCATAATCCCCATTGGCTGCGGTAGTTGGATTTTATCAAAACGTTCTTCAAATATGAAAATAACCGAGCGAATGCTCCCTCCAAAGAGTTTAGTCTTGGCCAAATTCAGTTCAAAATCACAAACCTCGCTTTCCAGAAAGTTTTGAGTAATCCAGAAAATGACACNATGCGTCAGCAACGTAAGTAAATCAAATGTCTTTTCTATATTACAAAGCTGACCACCTTTTTCAAACTAGCAGTTATCAACAGTTTGGTATAAAAACAGTTTTATAATAAAAAGAAACAAGATAAATAAAGCAAAGGCACCATGTTCTGACATCGAAAATAACCAATCAGTTTTCTTTTGGTCTGTTTTCCAACAAGGCAAGCTTCAGTCTTTTCCAGAAAATGTCCCTTTTGCGCAGCCGCAGGTCTGGCCAGTAAAGACATTGGCAATGTCGTATCATAATCCCCATTGGCTGCGGTAGTTGGATTTTATCAAAACGTTCTTCAAATATGAAAATAACCGAGCGAATGCTCCCTCCAAAGAGTTTAGTCTTGGCCAAATTCAGTTCAAAATCACAAACCTCGCTTTCCAGAAAGTTTTGAGTAATCCAGAAAATGACACAGTAACTGCCGTCCATGGCTCCTTCAACACTTTCTACAATAGAGTTGCCGGGAAGGAAATTGCGCTCATGGACACAAAGACGAAAATTGAATTGCTCGTCATTTTCCAGATTTGGGATTAGCTCGGCAGCAACCCAGGCCGTATCCAGTAAACTATAAGATACAAAGGCGTCGAATATTTTCACAAGGTTGACGTCAGCATCTTGTGGTTTCTTCGCACAGCATCGCCACCCGAACCTGATGACGAAAGCGAATCTAATGTCCCATCTTGCATAGTAAATAATACCAGCTATAAAACATATGAATAATACCACCCCACCGGCACTCACCGCCACTTTCGTCGTGTTATTATCACACTGCCACCAGTCAGGTTTGAAATCAGAAATTTTAATTTTGTGTGTTGAAGCAGTACCAAAGCAAAACTCTTCTGAGTCCTTATTGTCTAGTCTTTGAAAATATTGCTGAAACCACCGCATATTGCAGTCACAGATTAACTTATTATTGCCCATTTTAAGTACACGTAACGATACTAAGCCATCGAAGGCGCCATCTTGGATGCTGGATATGGAGTTAGAGAAGAGCGTCAAGCTGTGGNGGAAATTGATAGTTCCCCGATGCTCTTTATGTCTGTAAAAGTGTTGTCACATATCTGTGTTATGTTGTTCCGCCCCAAATCCAGACTGAGATGGCCAAACACTGACAGTGGTTGTAAATCTGCTCTACATAACTTCCAAATTCGATTGGAATACAGACTCAGGAAAAGTCTTTCACGAAAGAAGCTGGTTGAAATATTAATGCGACAATCGTGTATTTGGTTATGATCTAGAAGGATATTTCTTATTTTAGGGTTGGTGAATATTGCTTCTGGAAGATGCTGAAATTTGTTGTATGATAGGTGAATCACTCTGAGTTCCATACTTGTGCCGAAAACACCATCTGAAATGTTTTGCAATCCAATTTTCCTCAGATCAATGGTACGCAATCGGTGCAAACCTTTGAAAAGAGATGATGTAAGTGACAATCCAAAAATATCTTTATTATACGACAGATTGATACTCCTGAGAGACTTCAGCGGTTTAAAGATTTGTTCAGGTGGATATCGTAGATGGTTGACGCTTAAATCCAAGACTTTTAGAAGGTCAAGGCCGTAAAACGCGTCCTTATTCAGGTGTGATATATTGCACGATTTCAGACGCAAGCTTCTCAGTTTGGACAGGAACTGAAACTGTTTATCGTGTATGAGCCTGAAATCATTATATGAGAGATCAGCAGTAGTTGTTGTTATCGGGAGATCGGCTGGAATCGCTCGTAGATGTCGTCGCCTGCAGTTTACAAGTGTATCGTTTCTTGGTCCATACTCCATGTGGATAACACACTTGTGAGTTGCAATTGCTGTCGTTTTCCCCGACATGGCCGCCCACACGAAAACCAAAATACATGTACGTATGAGTAAGTATCTCGTGTGAAGACTGACTCTAGTCATTGTTATGCTGAAAGTGAAACAAACATGCCTAAGTGAACGCCTTACGTTTTTCCACATTCCTTTTAAGTTTTAGATGAAGTGTATCAGATATAATAATTAATTAACAATTCCTCAAATTACGTTTTTATAGAATTTGTAAGCACTAAGGCCAAGGTTCGTGTGTCAAATAAAATCATAAAGAGGAGAGAAAAACAACAGAAACTCACCGTTCTATGAAGGATATATGAAGAATAGCGAGTCTTTCTTTCTGTCGGTGCGAAATTACATGAGTCAATAACTTGTTTGATCAGTAATTCCAAATGAAATATCCCAGCCAAAAATACTTTAATAAAGCGTACCCCAGTCGATCTCCTAACAAACTGTCAAAAACGGTTTGTTGGAGGCAGATTGTTATTTCCGTAAGCATTACAAATGCTTTTAAAATAACTTCTATTTCCTATCATCATTTATCATGTGACACACACCGCACTACAATCTAGTCACGGGTATCATATGAAACTGAACTCGCTGCGTTCCGGATTCAACTAAATTGCCGCCCACATTACAAATGTTCTCTTCCAGTAACAATGAATTTGCGTTCATGTAAAAGGATTCTCCAGCAAACGACGACTACGGTATTGATATTTACTGACTGAGATACCGGCAATGATCAAGATATTTAAACTAAATCCGTTTTAAAACTACATTGTACTGTTAAAGCAATGTTTGTTGACATTGTAGTCAACACATTAAAGTTATTTGTGTAAATTTAATGAAGTTATGTAGGTTAAATGTCCTGGATTGCATGGCAACTCCACCGCAGTACCGGTTTGAAATTTAAATGATTTCTTTTAAATGTTATCACTTCATCTTTTCTGTGGAATTCAAAATTTCATTCGAAATAGAATATATATATATATATATAT